AATCTCTTAGTATAGGTTTAATGTACTTACGTTGAATCAAGGAATATTCCCCCACTGGTGTCGCGATGCTGTCCGTTACCACCTCATTTATAGCGGTGTCCTTCTTTTGCCGAGCCTCAATCCCTAGGGCGGGTAAGATATTATTCCCAATGATCTCTCGTTGGACCCCTTTGGTTATATAAAGTTCAGCTTGCTTGGCCTCCCAACCTTCAGACTCAACATCGACAAAATTTCTCCCTATGATTCTAACTACGTCATCTGTCGCACTATAGATTATGTTCTTATCTCATCCGGCACTTTTCTAACTCCCAGAAATCTGTCCCAAATTTTCAACTCGTGTAATTTTATTTGAGAAATAAAGGACACTGGACTAGCACAATCTATCTGGAATTCTATCCGTCACCGGCTCATGCCCATTGCAATTTTCAGCATTTTTCTGTTTTCCTTGCCTTCTTTGTCCACAACCGCCTAGATAACAAGAACTCCGCATTCCTCGTTATCCTTTTGTTCCAACTTTGTGATAACATTCGTTTCGAATTGTGTAAATTCATACGCACCAATGCTCCAAAAAACTGTTCCATGCTCTCATTGTCCCTTTGCCTTCGGCCAATGAAAACAAATCTTTCATTCGTGACATTCGGTTCGTTCTGAAACGTATCCGTCAAAGTCTTCCACAATTCAAGAAACGTCACTTCTACGAATTTACCGTATTGATGTTTTTGACTGAAATATCTTTGTCCTTGCTTACCCAATGACAAAAACAGTTTTGATTTTAGCCGTTTATCCGCTTCTCCTCTAGGCGATGCTTTAGATGTCCGACGCTCATCCTCCGCCTGTCGGTTTTTCTCGTCTCGCCATGTCGTTAACACCGTCGTATTACAAACCTCTCGGTCAGATAGTGCCTGCTGATCCTCTGTCCCTACCGCCTCTTCCGGTACCGGGTATGGATTTTCGGGCAAGCCACCGTCCTGCAGCAAATCTCGATATCAGTTTCCTCTTTCTCAATGACTATCAACTGAAAGCTTTGACTCCATTCTTCTTACAATACCGTAGGTTCTTGCAATAGGTCCGCCTAGAGTACATCTAACCCACGGTAGGCCGAATCCGTATTTGACTGCGCCATGTGGAAGTATGCCTATGCAGTACTTCATAAACGTTGATGTAAATATTAGAATCAACTTAAATTCAAACTCGTTACGCCAGCCACTGGCTGTATGCACTCCACAAGTTCACAATCACTTTGATCTTGACGGTCATAAGACGTTATATAATGTCATACGTAATTTTAATACTTGCATCTTTAACCTCTACGCCACATCCCCCCCAGGAGTTCAACCCCCCTGCCGACCCATAGGGTCGCACTTTTGTATTATTTTGAGGTATACATTTTTGACTGAGAGACATCAAACTTTTTTCTAAAGGCGCCTTCGACGCCGGTATTTACTAATTTTGAGGGGAAGGGCGCGCCGATAAAACGCATTTTTTGTCAACATTTTCTGAAAAGTTCCTAAAAACGTCTTTTTTGGTCTGTTCTAAATTTTGCCTGCGGCTCAGAAAATTTGGCCGAAAGAGGGTCTTGTAGTGCTTTGGAGAGCTCGGAAATTCTTTTTACTCAACCTAAAAAAGGTGGACACAATTTTTGAAAATCCGCCCACCCCCCTCGAGAAAATCCTAGATCCGCCCCTGCCAATATAATTGATTATTATCCATTAAACTCCAAAGAGGGAACAAAGAACAACATGTTCACTTTTAAAACAATTGGATTTAGTGGTAAAGTGGTCGTAAATGGTCATTCTAGACTGGCATAAGAAAACTTCGACAAAATCCCGGGGAAAAGTTTAAAAATTTTGAAAACTTTGCCGCCCTGATACGATTAGCTTTGAGTCATTTTGATTTCAATTCAGTGATGCACACTAGATAGGACTTTGAAGAAGCTATTAGGGATCAAACCGGTTACTGGGAACATTTTTCTTAACAGTTTCTAAACATGGCACGTACTTATTTTTGGGATTGAAAAAAAATTGGTGACAGTTTATCTTGGTGACAGTTTAACTACAATAGGTACAAGTTAATTACTAATAACTTTCAATCTAAGGCGAAACTGCCTTTGATATCTTATTTATTATCATTTCCGATTAAAAATTTGAAGATTGTCTATTTATGTTAATTTTCTATAATTGTTCCGACTTTCGCAAGGAAGGTAATGGAATACTTGTACTCGGGGTGGGTTTTTTTCCTAAATAGTTTTTTAATTAGCCATTTTTGACAAAATTTGTTCATATCTCGCAAAAGGTATTGGTGTTTTATGCTTGAATTTGAAAACATATTTTACTTGTGGTTGTTTTCGTAAAGTTATGGGGGTTTAAGGATTACCATTTTGGCCAATTTGGGGCAATAAACGCGCGATGTCTTTCGCGCTAATAACGCGTAAGCGGAGCTCTAATCCGTCTTACAAATTGCTCCAAATTGGCTGACGGAAGCTTATTTGCCTAATTGATTTGTTATCACTTTGTACTTTAGATGACGCGATCTCAAATTTTAAATTTTTTTAAATTTTATTTTAATCCATTTCATTTTTCATGTTATTTTTTGTTTTTTACCCGCTTTGGAGTTCCATGATTAAAAATTGATTTTAACTGATTTTTCACAGTCAGCGTCCACAAAAATGAAAAAAAATTGATTATAATCAATTAGAAATGGATTATAACATTACGATTTTTCTAGGCAACAAAATTCATTTTTAATCCGTTTTAATCGATTTTTCTCCACTTTATTGAGGTGCGAATTTCAACATACATAAAGCATTTTCTACGTTTTAAGCCAAAGTTGTTTTTTTTATTATTTTGAAACATTGATACTTTTATTTCTCTTTTATGTTACTCAATAGCTGAACTTTGGTCCTATCAACAATTGCCAGCTTCTATCCCCTTCAAAGTTTGCCCGTTTGCCCTCTTTGTACCCTTACACCCGCCATTCCCAACCGGAGCTAATCCCAACCCCCCTCAACCAAATGAATACCAACTGAACCAATTGAACTAAACCCCCCCCCCCCCCCGCCCACACCCACCCATCCTAAACCGGATCAGAGGGTGGGGGGTTCAAGTGGATTGGGGGGTTGTTGGTTCAGGTGCGGGTTCGAGTGATTCAGGTGGGGAGTGGTTCAGGTGCGCGGGTCGCGTGATTCAGGGGGTGTTCAGGTGTGGGGGGTGTCCCAGAAGGCCAGGTGGGTGTTTCAGGTGTGTGGGGGGGGGGGGGGGTGACGGAGCAAACGTTGGGATGGAGGTTGTAAGGGAACAAATGGCAAAACGTAAGGGGGAAAGGTCAACGAAACGTTTTTGCAATTTGAGTTTAGGTTTAAGAAATGGAGAAGGCTGTACTCTTACTTTGCAAAGATTTCGCATTACTCATTTTTTAAATGCAGAAATTCTTGCAAATTTTTGCACGACGCGAAACAAAAATAAGGTGGAAAAAATCCATTTCAATGTGATTTTGTATTTGTTTTATAATCCATTATAATGGGTTTCAAATGAATTATAATGCATTCTAATTTTGCGAGAAAAAAATGGATTTTAACCTAAGATTTTGGGTCTAAGCCTAACATGGGAATCGATTATAATGAAAATGTTTTAGACCAAAAAAATCCAATATAATCAATTTTTTTCATTTTTCTTAGATGCATTTAGACTTTAAGAGCAGTCGGAACATTCAGGGCTCCGACTGCCTCTTAAAGGCCAAAAAAGGGTTTTTAATTTTTAGGTACACATTTTGGAAAATTTCGACCAAAAATCGAGTTTTTTTGGCGCGCGCTCCCCCGTCAAATTTAGTATAGGTTGGCGCCCTTAGAAAATTTTTAGGGTTCATCAGTCCAAAAAGGGTATCTCAAAATAAAACAAAGGGGGACCCTTTGGGTCGGCAGGGGGTCGAATCCCTGAGGGAAGGGGCATCCCCCCCCCCCCTAAATCCACTACTGCTTCTACTGCAGAATGCAAGCAACACGGATGAGGTTATGTCACAGAGCGATCTTTTGATGGTTAGTATTAAGTCTAACATATAAAAAATCGTTTTGCTTTAATTTTAGGTCTGAAAATTCATAGAAGATGGCTTATAGCTCCACCTATGGACGAATGATGCGAGACGAGCAGTCTTACTACATGAGACGCAGACCCACGAATCAAACCTCTTTCGGGTCCTCTTTTGCATCCGGCAGGAGCAGACTGAAGGTGGAGGATGCGATGGGTGCAGGGGGTGCAAAGGGCAAAGGGGAGGGGGAGGATGATAGTAGGAGCCATGAAGAGGAGATGGTGTTGGTGAGGAACCAGTACCAGCAGCCTGGGGGAAGACTCTACCCGGGTCAAAGCAGGCAGTCGGAAGTGTCCCCCGCACCCGAACGCAAGTACGAGTTTTATGTATCAGTAAAATGAGATGCTTTTACACACCCTGTAGGACACCTACTGTTGCTTGAAAACATTGCTGTTTTTGTATTGTTTGAGCAAATCAACTCATCGCGATTGGCTTTTTTCAGTTTTTTCCACCTTTCTCCACTAATTAACTTTCAAACTATATTTAACTCGGTGACAAAAATTTAAAAAAGCAATTAAATATTTCTGAAGTTAAAGGCGCTTTAATTTGATTAGTTTTTTCTTCTAAACTCGAAGATTGGAAAGTTCAAAAGTACCGTTTTTACTGATTCTTTGAGCTCATCGATATTTTTCTATTTAGAATTTCTTCTGGCTATGTTTTTAGAACTGGCAGTCTGGACTACAGCTTCTCCAACACTGCCAAACTGATTGCGTTTGTATGGTTCCTGGTAACTATAATGCTCGTGTTTATGGTGGTGCTCCACATGCAGAAGTTCTATGTTCCTGTGAGGGATCCCATGCCGAAAACCTGCATCACCAGAAACTGCAGAGAGACCGCAAACATGCTCAAACAGGTTCGTTTCTTCTCGCTCTTCACATCTTGTTAACTATTCTTTTCTTTTATTAAATTGTTTTAAGCCTAATTGTTGTGATAAACTTATTAAATAGTTTCAGAGAGTGATGAAACACTAGTTGCCATTCTTTGGGCACTGACTACTAACTTCAGCATATTATCCTTGACACCAACAGCACCATTATTCCTGGCATTTTCCTGGCTTCACACAATGTCAACACCAATGCTTCTGATGCTGCCCGACGACTTCACGAAACTCAATCCCGAACAAAAAGATAAGTACTACGTTCAAATATATAACCTTGTCAATGTACTAGCAACATCCAGTAATCCTCCAAACAGTAATCAAAACGCAAAAGGACTCAGAGCACCTATTGATTTTGCTGCCAAAGTAATCCCCACTGATACTCAAAACTTGATTATTGGTTCGAGTTTTTTAGCGGAGTTTGACACGAAGGAGCTGCCCAAAGAGGTGGCCGTTCATTCTTACCGCGGGTCATTTTGCAGCGAGAAACAATCAGTTGTGAAAAAGTACGACGATACTGAGCTGAAATCAGTAACCTTCCAGGACGGCACCAATTCACTCACAAGGGAACTACACAAACCTGTAGATGATATATTTGAAACTTTTTGCGCCACCATTAGTGAAATTGAGACAAAGTTTTCACCTACAATAATCAATATATGCCAAGTCCCGCCTGTGAAATCGGGACCCGATTCTGTAAGTGGTAAACGTATAACTGAATTCAACAGCCTTATTGCTCATAAATTTAAGAAAAAAAAGTATCAAATTGTTCCTATATACGATAAAATTGTCAGCATAAACGACTATCAGTCAATCTTCTTTGATGAAGTACATTTGATGCGTTCTGTTAGTACTTTAAAAAATGCAATCATGGAAAAGGTGCTACCATTATCCAGCTTATCACCTCGAGTTGTTTCTCCGAATACTTCCAACTCTAGGGGCCCAGCGCACCCTCAGAGGAATCGTATGAAACCTGGTTCAAGCCAAGTCTCGTGGGGCCCCGAGCACCCAAAGAGTCTTGCGAGCCATGGTTTCAGCAACAATCAAACCTACAATTATATGAATACCAATCGTAGTAATTATGACTTACGCCATAATAGATACTATCCATACTAATGCTGTTTTAGTAGTCTATTACCCAATGATCTGGATCTATCAAATTTATGTTTAGCCAATGGCTTTTAAAGACTCTCCTTATTTTCTCCCTTTTAATTAGCATTCCCATTAAGTACAATGAACCCAACAGCACCGCACTACTCAAAACTAGAAACATGACGTCTAACCGCCACTTTAGATTCACAGCTGGCATCTATTGCGCAGTTGTGATACTAACCTTTCAGATTGGAATATTGGAAATCCTGCTTCTTCAATGTGGGGACATTGAAGTCAATCCAGGTCCCGCACTTTCATATGAAATCCTGGCAAGCAAAGCAAAGGAACACCACAACTTCCTCAAATATATAACTCTAAATTGTAGAAGCATAAAGAACAAACACATGGAAATGCGTTTCTTGTCAGAAATAGTTGACTCAAACACAATTATCGGTCTTACGGAAACCTGGCTTGACGAAACATGCGATCATCAAACTTATTCATTCTGCAAAACAACCCATGAAATTTTTAGATGCGACCGTAACAAAAAATGCACTGGTCAACACGCAGGTGGTGGTACTCTTCTTCTTATTCCGAAAAAATTTAACCCTAAGATTCGAGAAGATTTAAATTATCTACGTCCCTCCCATTTTGAAGGACTCTGAGTGGAATATAGCCCAATCATCTCAAAAAAATCAAAAAGACAGATAATTGCTATTGCCTACAATCCACACAAACAATTCAAGGAAATTTTTATAGAAGATACACTAAAGGGTATCGATTACGCTGCCTCCGAAGCGCGAGATGTTACGATTTTGGGAGATTTCAATATTAACTACTTGAATAAACATGAAGCTAAATTTCTCAGCGATTCTATTAAACCATACAATTTGTCAATAACCAATAAGTCGATACCGACATACAACTCTAAAAACAGCCAATCCATTTTAGATAACATTATAGCAACCAAATCTCTTTGTAAAGAAACTATTGTAGCAGAACCACCTATAAACACGGACCATTTAATAACAATGTGTATTAGCAAACTAAAACGATTCGAAAAAGCCATTCCAATTCGAACTTTTCGCTTCGACAAAACCAATTATTGTAAAAATAGGTTCTGCGAGGAACTTAAACAGAGTCCATGGTTTCTCGTCTACCAAGAAAACGATATCTCTAAAATGTTAATAAAATTTGAAGATATTTTCTCGCATGCCCTAAACGCTCACGCACCACTAGAGCAGAAGTATATCCGAAATAAACCGCAGCTACAGCTGTCTGGTAAAGTACTTAACTCAGTCAATAGACCTTTAAAACAGGAAAAAGAAAATCTTCTAAAGGCATATCAATTATCAAGAACAGATGCCAATTTTGAAAACTATAAACGAATAAGAAATAAATACAACAATCATCTAAAACATTTATACAAGAAAGAGAAAACAGCTCAATTCAAAATGCTTGACTGTCCAAAAAAACAATGGAATTTCATAAACTCTATCAGGAACACCATGAAACAGTCAACGCAAATAGGTGATCTACGGAATTCGTTTGGCGACACTATAATTGAAAATAAGAATAAAGCAAATTTCCTTAACTACAGGTTCTCAACATTAGGAGAATACAAAAACGCAGATCCTCCCATAGATGTACCAACTGAGTACAGTGTACACAGCAAAACAAATAGGCACTTTCAATTCAGGTTCATAACTCACAAAGAAATGAAAGATGCAGTTTTATTACTTCCCTTAAACAAGCCATTAGGACCAAGCAAAATCCCTGCTTGGGCTCTAAAAGACAGCATTAATACTGTAAACCCAATTCTTACGATGATTATCAATGAATGCATCTCGAAATCCGTATTCCCATATACCTTAAAAAAGGCACACGTTTTTCCCATATTCAAAAAAGGCGACTCGACAGATCCAGTAAATTATCGTCCAATTTCTATTACACCCACTCTATCGAAGTTGTTTGAAAAAATTTTTTCATCCCAAATTCACGAATTTTTAGCAAATTCCAATATTCTAAATCCAAAACAATTTGGCTTTCGTCCAGGTTATTCAACTAATGATGCTCTTTTATACACAACAGAAAAAATCAGATTCCATCTCGATAAAAATAACATAGCAGCGGCTGCATTTCTTGATTTATCTAAAGCATTTGATTCACTCTCTCATTCAGTCCTTGAAAGGAAACTAAGTCACATTGGCTTTGAACAGTCAGCAACAACTCTTATTAAGTCATTTCTAGAAAACAGACAGCAATTGACAATAGTAAACGGCGAACACTCAGATTGGCTTAAATTAGAGCAAGGTGTTCCCCAAGGTACTGTACTAGGACCACTGCTGTTCAACTTGTATGTAAATGACTTACCACAAACAATAGACAAATCATGTACGTTAGTACAATATGCCGACGACACGACTCTGCTTAGTTTTCATTCAGATCCCGAAACAGCAACAAAGAGCATTGAAAACAATTTCAATAAAATTCTCTTGTATTTTCACTTAAATCGATTAATGATTAATGTAGACAAAACTCAGTTCATTGTATTTTCTGCACCGTCGAAAAAGAAACTAACTGAAAATCTTTCATTGAAAGTTGGAAACTATCAAGTTAATTTAACAGAGACAGTTAAATTTCTCGGCGTCAATATTGACATAAGCTTAACATTCGACAAAGAAATTAACAAAATTTTACAAAAAATGGCTACAGCAATCCAAACGATAAAATGCATCCGTGACGATATCCCTCTGCGTACTAGAATTCTCCTGTTAAATACTCTTGTACTGAGCCATTTGCACTATCCATGCATGCTCTTAAACGGATGTACGCAAGATAATATTGAGAAACTCGAAAAACAAATAAAATGGGGAATCAGGATAATAATGAATATAAGCAAACGAGATTCCGTTACACTTCTAAGGAAACAGCACAAAATTCCTACTGCTCGGAATATTATCGAGTACCGATCAGCACACTACCTTCACAGGTTATGCCGAAACGATGCCCCAGCTTTCACGCATATAAGATTCCCAAATTCTGAATTCCGCTATAACCATCGAACTGGAACATTACTGTTCCCTTTAACATGTAAAACTGATTTCCTTCGTAAGTCTTTCTTATTTACATCAATCAGGAACCTTAACACAATAATCCGAACCTTGTTTAATCGAAAACTGCCGTACACATTGACAAAAACTCTGATTAAAAATTTCATCATAGGAAAAGATGACACCCTGTTACCCAATAAGGAGAGTCTTTCCGTATCCAAGGACATTTATTTTGTTAAATCAAATATTTGATTCAACCTCGTAGTAATTTATGTTTTTTCTTGTTATGTTATATAACCATTGCGTAATATTGTACACTAGATTCTTATACAATCAGTTCTGCAACTGCATAAGTATATTGAAACAATAAAGTGTCCCCTCTCTCTCTCTCTCTTTTCTGAAAAGGCGATAATTTATTCCTATTTCCAAGATTTGTGTAAATTTTGCCTTTGAAATAATCCCTTAGAGGGGTGAACTCTCTGTTATTTACCATATGGGAGAAGGGGGCAAAGCTAGGTTTTTCTCGAAAGGGGTGGTTTTTCAAATTTTTCGCTAATTTTGTTGACCTTTTTTTAGGTCGACCGAAATAATTTTCTAAGCTCTTCTACCTCATTATATTGGCCCAATTTTGACCAAGTTTCTTGCGCCGCAGGCAAACTTTTGAAAAAAAAAAACAGACCAAAAATGCCGTTTTTTGTTTTGTTTTGGAAAATGATGACGAATAAATTGTGTTTTTTTTTGGTGCGCGCTTCCTTTCAAAATTATTATATATTGGCACCTTAGAAAAAATTTATGTGTTGTTCGACCGAAAATGGATGTCATAAAAAACACCAAGAAGGGAAATTTTTGATTGGTGAAGGGGTCGAATCCCTGAGATAGGTAGGCAACCCCTTCCTCCCCCTGTATGACAAGATGCCACATTTCA